GGTTACCAAGACTCAGAGAAGACAAGCAGTTTGGCCTACCTGTGTTTCTAGGGGCTGGGACCACTCCCAGCCTACACCTGGCACCCAGAAGCCCAATTAATCTTGTTAAGCTGCAGCCCCACATCACCCAAGCATCAGTCTTCATCCTCCCCTGCCCCTGTCCCTTCCCTGCTCCCAGGCTTCTTGGCAAGGGTACTAATAAATGGATGTATCTCCCAGCTGCTGAATGTGGGACCCACCCACTCTGCATCTCTCCCTTCAGCTCATTTCCCCTTCTGCAGCACAGCAGAATGGAACATGACACCAGTCTTGCCTTCCCCAACTTAAATGTTGCATGAGATGGCACCTGGCCACCTCTGCTATCAGTGTCTCCAGCTCTGCGACCCAGATAGTGTCTGACTCAGATGGCCTGGCAACCCCTCCCACTCCTGGCACTGCCTGCTCACACATGGCACCTGTTGGGGGATGTTTCTGGAGAAGGGGGGTTTGCAGACAGCCTTGAGACTGAGAGAGATGATTGTGTCTCCAGCATCCCATAACCCTGATATGGAAGAACAGCTGGCAAGCATTATTAGGGTCTATTTCACTCCTCTTTGGCATAAAACTGCTAAATCTTCATTTCCCCTTTGTTCATATATATATATATATATAAAATGAATACACATGTTAAAGAATATATATATATACTCAATATTTATATTAAATCAGCTAATTTTTGTATTTTTTTGTAGAGACACAGTTTCGCCATGTTGCTCAGGCTGGTCTCAAACTCCCAAGCTCAAGCAATCTGCCCACCTCACCCTCCCAAAGTGCTGGGATTACAGGCCTGAGCCACTGCAGCTGGCCTTATTATTATTTTAATTGACATATATATGTCAATTATATATATACATATAAAATATATTATGTACATATATAAATATATAAACGTATACATAATACATATAATTTAATGTATGCATACATTAAATATATACGTGTATATATAAAATAGAGATAGGGTCTCACTATGTTGTCCAGGCTAGTCTTGAACTCTTGAACTTCTGGCCTCAAGCAGTCCCCTCTCCTTGGCCTCCCAAAGTGCTAGGACTACAGGCATGAGCCACTGTGCCTGCCCCCACCATCATTCTTGACATGGCCACTACCTACCTTGCTCCCCACTGCCCACCCCTGCCCCAGACTCTCCCTTATCATACAGAGAGACTACAGAGAAGAGGGAGGTGGCAATTTGCTCTGAAGCCATGGGGGGAACTCTGAAGCCATGTGAGTACCCTGGGTGCAAGATGTGGAATCAAAGATGAATCCCTTCCTACTTGTATGCTCAAAACGAGTTACCCACTAGGGGCCTTCTTTGTAAAATGGAGAAATACCCACCTCAATGGGTTTTGCTAGGGCTCCTCCAGATAATATATGTAAAGATATTTCATAAATCATTATACTTATGTAAATATGTGGCTCAGCAAAAACATCTTAGGAATACATCTAGTTTCTTGGGAACTGCTGCCTTAATTCTTCCAGGTCCTCAGTTGCCCACTGATCTGCTATAGCCTTGGCCAAGTCTGGTCCTCTCAGCAGCAGATCCCTCATCTATAGTTGGAGGGTGGATATAACTCTCTGGGGTCCCCTCCAACTCTGCAGTCTTGACTCTGTGTGTTTGGTGGCCTGGGATTCAGAGGCTTGTTTCAGTCTCCCTCTTAAAGATTACAGCATTTCTCTTTTTTTTTTTTTTTTTTTTTGACATGGAGTCTCGCTCTGTCGTCCAGGCTGGAGTACAGTGGCGCGATCTCGGCTCACTGCAGGCTCCACCTTCTGGGTTCACACCATTCTCCTGCCTCAGCCTGCCAAGTAGCTGGGACTACAGTCACCCACCCCACACCCAGCTAATTTTTTTTTTTTTTTTTTTTTTGGTCTTTTTAGTAGAGATGGAGTTTCACCGTGTTAGCCAGGATGGTCTCCATCTCCTGACCTTGACAGCACTTCTCATTCTGACCAATGATATCAAGATGGTTTCACTCTAGTTTCCAGTCCCTGGCACTACTCCTGGACATCTCACTGGCATGGACAGTTTGTGTGTGGTCCCTGAGGTGGGCAGGGACCAAGGTACCAGAGCCTGCAGCACAAGGTCTTAACCCTCTTCCTGGGCTACAGAGAAGAGCAAAATCACTTGGCACAAGGACCAAGAAGCCTTCCTGAGCTAGGAGCAGGAAAAAGGACCAGGGAGGTCTTGCCTCAGGACAAAAGTGGCTGCCTACCCCACAGTTTTATTTGTTTCATTTTATTTATTATTATTATTTTTAGAGACAGGGTCTTGCCATCTTGCCCAGGCCTGTCTCTTATACACATCTAGATGTGTATAAGAGACAGGTGATGCTCTCTCCCAAAGTGTTAGGATTATAGGTGTGAGCCACTGTGCCCAGCCCCCACATTGTTTTAAAGGACCCTAGGCCAGGTG